TTCTGAGCTGCCTGCAGAAGCCTTGTGTTAGAGATGCCAGAAGGATGAGGCAGATGCTGTCAAGGTCCCAGGGTTAGGGAGGGAGCACTGGCCAGGATTTGGGACAATGCACCATGTCCTGCATAAGATAGGAAACAGCACAAAGCAACTCTGAGCGTGAGGAGGAGTGCTGGGATTTCCCTGCTTCTTCTTTTCCTGTTCCCTCTTTTCTTTTTGCATGTGTCTTGCCACAGATAACTGAGCTTGTGCCCTCATCCTTCACACGTGCCTGGGCTTCCTTTTCCTGTTGTATCTGAGCTGCATCATGGCATAGGGCACAGAGGGAGATAAATGCTCCATGTGCACCACTGATTTATTTCTTTGGACTTGGTCCCGTATTTCCCAGTGAAGAAAAGGACAAGGCCACCCTGCTGCCAGCTGGCTCACACGTGTGCTTGCTGTGCATTGCTCATGTGCAGCACCGTGTTCCTGCACACTTCATGGGTGCTGGAATGATTTAGATCAAGGGGCAAGAGGAGCTGGGATACACCACAGGTGGAGTCAGGTGCGCTGCAAAGAGAAGAGACACTGGGGTGTTAGTTTAAAACCTGAATAAATATTTGCAGAGATTAAACTTCGTAAGTTGGTGCTTCTGATGCTCATATTCACATGCAGTATTGACCACTGGATCTGAGGTTGTCCTTCAGCTGATGGAAGTATGAGAAGCCTGAGCCCTGGCTTCCCCCAGAGCAGGGAAGAGAACACAGTTCTAATGAGTAATTACAAGATTTGTCACCCTGAAGAGTGAGGTGTTTATCTGATGGTGCTGTCAGCTCAAAGCCCAACTCACAGCTGCCTGGTGAGGACCTGAGGACCAGCAGGCAGCAGATGGTGCTGTGATGCTGCTCTGTGCACAGCTCAGACGTGCTCAGAAAGACCTGGCTGGGAAATCCTGCATCGCTCCTTGGGAATCTCTGCCAATTCCTGTGTTCCCACACTACCATGAACTTGCTCCTGTTCTGTTCCTGGAGTTTAACTTGACATCATTCTTGATGGGGATTCAAAAATTGCAAGCACTGTATTCCGAGAAGTGATTATTGCATGCACAGCTCAGTCCCGTGAGTATGAGCCAGCTCCCCAAATTACAAAAAAAATCCTCTAATGGTTCTGACACCTCATTGTCATTGTCAGACTGTGGAAATGGCCTGAGTGGATTCCATCCATGACTGCCAGGAGCATGTGGGACCCCACGGCTCCTGTGCTATGTGATATTTTTATTAATGCTATCTGTAACAAGCATTGGCCTGTTCAATTTGCAGAGCGTGGAAGAATCGTGGTGTGTAGTGCAGAGAGGGTGAGAGAGGCCTGAGAACAGTCTACAAGGGTCACTGAACAATTTCAGCCTTTGTTTTCATGCTGGAAAGGACATAATGTTCTGACCTCAAACTAGAGAAAAGAAAAAATGGAAGAAAAATGCTGCAGCAGTGAGGAAGTGCTGGGAGATCACCTGGAGTGTGAGGAATTCTGTTCCTAGAGTGAGTGGTGAGTGTTGATCTTCTATGTGGAGGTTGATGACTCTCCCCAGCCCTGTTTTCTGTATTTCTCTGAAAAACCACTTGCTCTTACCCCAAGGGCCTCTCCCTCCCCTCATGGAAACCTGAGATGGGAAGCTGTTACTCTTGCTCACCCAGGGCGCTCCTGAGCTGCGCTGTGGGAGTGAGCAAATGCTGTTCAGTCCTTAGGGACAGCACACCCTCTCCTGGGACCTGTCTCTTAAAGACCAGCCACTTCATACTCCACTCACCCAGATGATGCAGGGTTGACCTGGCTCTGGAAAGTGGACACCACTGCTCGTGTGGATCACCCCTGAGTCATCTTGACCTTTTCCTCCCTGTGCTGCTGCTGCTGTTAAGGAGTCCACTTACCAGCAGCGGGATGAGTCCACATCTTGCCTTCATAGACTGCTGTTGCAGAATTGCACACAAGGCAAGCTCCTTCCTCTTTCTCCTTGCAGACAGGCTGTCATCCCTGTGTCTGTGTTGCTCCTTTGCTTCTCTCCAGCCTCGTGCCCTCTGAGCCAGCGAGGTCTGTTGGCCCTTGTGCCCAAGATATTTGTTCTCTTTTGCTGGAGGCAGGTGCCAGCTGCCCGTGTCCTTCCCAGAGCATCCCTGGCACTTGTGCTCCCACCTCAGGAGTGTGGATGGAGCTCTAGGCTGGCACCCTGAATTTGTTATTGTCACACGTGCTCCCAGCCTGCTGCTCTTGGTGTTGGGGACTGCGGTGGGGACGCAGTCCTGGCATGGGGACAGCTGTGCTGAGTCCTTGGTGGCAAAAATCACAGGTCAAGCTGGTTTTTTTTTCACACAGCTCTATGGGCAAAAGATGGGCCCAGGTGCAAGACTCAGCTCTATTTTGTTATTTCTGGTTCTCTGCACTCTCTGGACTCTTTTTCCACCTTCCTGCAAGGCACTTTCAGGAGTAGCAGGGTCAGCTTTTTGAAGGGGCTCTGGGCACAGAGGGGAGCCCACCCTGGGACTGCACTGAGGCATTTAGCCCAGGGTAGAAAACAGATTTCACACCAAAGAGCTCTTTGAATCAGGAGTGATACCTCTCCTGGGAGGAGAAGGCTTTGTCACGCTGAATTACACCCGGCAGGGTTCAGACATGGAGTCTGCAGGAAGGAACTGGCTCTTAAAAGGATGGGAAAGGGCTAATGGTGGCCATTACCTCCGGGCTTGGCCCTAAAAGCAAAGCAGAGGTGTGGCAATGTGTTACCTGCCGGGGCCATAATCCAGAGTGCTCTTATGGGGGAATTCACAGAAGGAAAAATCAGTCCCTTTCAGCTGAAAAGTGAGAGAGAACGTCCAAAGAGCCAGCTTCGTGGCTGGGCTGTGGAAGTGGGGGATGCTGTGGGTGTTGGGGTTTACAGACCTGGGGGGATAGAAGAGAGGGATCATTAAGTAATCCTCCCTACAAGTGTGAGTCAGTCCTACATCCTGTGGTCAAAAAGGAAAGGGGTACAAGCTGACCCCAGAATTAATCTTGTACCAGTAAATTCGAAAGGGAGATTCCAGAGAAAGAGGAAGTCAATAGAAAAAGCCTGAAAATTTAAAATAGTGTTATAAAAATCTTTCAACTCAGCAGTGAGGCAGCCCAGGAAACTCTGAAGGACTTGCAGGGGCTGATCAGAGAGAAGTATGTGGAGGAAACTGAAACCGGAGAAATTGAAACCTCTGATGATCCCAAAGGAGATTTGTTGTGCTTAGGCACGACAGAGATGTTGACATTTTCCTGGGGATGTGGCAGCAAGGCTGGAATGCTGGGATGGGTGGTAGCTGGGATGGGTACACACAGGGAATGTGAAGAGTAAAATGTTAAAATTGTAAACATTTAGGTTTGTTGTAAAACTAAATTCATTCCTGGGGAACTGGAGCAGAAAGAGGACAGCTTAGGAGATTGGGGTGTCTGCACTACCAGAGACTCTGCATCAGCCCTGCTCCTTCAGGGCAGAGAAAGAGGGGTTGTTAGAGATGGAAGAGCCCAAAAAGGAAATTCTGGAGGAGATTTGGAAGAAGCACTAGTATTCCATGATTCCAGACTGAATGGTGGAGCTGTGCAGGCCAGAGCAGTTTCAGAGGGAAGCAGTTAATCATATACTAAAAAACCACAACCACTGAAACCACCTGCAGTCCTGGAGGGGAACAAGTGAATCTGGTGCTTGTCCTGGAATGGGAGCAGGCAGCTGCCACCTGCCCAGGCCCACGGGGCTCCCAAACTAGAATGGCCACTGCTGCTCTGCCTTGTTCCCAGCAGCAAGATCACACACGCTCTGCTGACTCGAATCCCTCCTCCGTTACTCCAGCCCTCAAGGTCATTATAATCTTTCTCTGTGATATCCTGGCCTGCTCTGGATTGATGATGCCATCTCGTTTTGCCGCATCAGCACATTTCCTTTGCCTTCTCCTGCTTTTTGTGCCAAGATCATTAAGGCAAATGTTAAGCAGAGTAATTTTTGAGGCAGAAACTCGAGGAACTGTGTGGGTAACCCCCCTTCCAGCTGAAGCAATTACCCTGCTCCTTTCAGGCAGCTCTTCACCAAATTTACTTTTCAAATGCCAGTCACATCTTCTCTGCCTTATCTAATAATTTACTATGTGGCATCATTTCAAGTGCCTTCCTGAAGCTCAGACAAGAGAGAGATCTACTGAATTTCCTTCATCACAAATATCTCTGAACTTATAAAAGGAAGCTATTAGGTTAATGTTGGTGTGCGTCAGGATATTGAAACGATGTCAAGATAATAAATTAAAATAAAGATAGTATCAGCTATGTTGATTCTTTTCATGGATTTTTGATTTTTTGGGGGGATATTTGATGATGGATTCAGTACGAGAATAATGTTGATAGCACAGTGATGTTTTAGTTGTTCTTAAATAGTGTTTACCCTGGCCAAGGACTTGAGGAGCTGCACAAAAAGCTGTGAGGGAGCATAGTTGGGACAACTGACCTAAGCTGACCAAAGGGATATTCCACCCCATAAAACATCATGCCCAGAAGGGCCAGTGGGAGTCTGGGGACGGGGTTTGGCATCAGTCATCACCTGCTGAGCAGCTGGATTGTGTATAGCTTGTTCTTCTTGCGTTTTCTCTCTCTTTTAAATGACTGTTGTCATTATATTTTACTTTGTTTCAATTATTAAACCATTTTAATCTCAACTCACAAGTGTTACTCTTGATTCTCGTCCCCATCCCACCAGGGTGGGGGGAAGTGAGTGAGTGGCTGAGCCCAGTGGCCAGTTGGTTTTGGACAACCACAGCACCGCTCAGGGCCCTGGATGAATTGCCACCTCCATCCCACATGTCCTTCTGCTGGAAGCACCAACTGGAGCAGCAGGACCAGACTCTTTGCCTCATCAGTCTGTGGGTCCCTTCTCCTACATCAGGCCTCCAGCAGGGAGGCATCAAAACTTCATTAACAGACACGCTTATATAATTGAAATTATCTTTATTTTAGTGTATTATTAAGACATAACATAAATTATTTTTGTACTTTCTTTTTTTTTTTTTTAGAAAAACATTATTTAATTTAACTTAAATAAGTTAAATAAAACCATTTTTCCCCTTGAAGGAGGCTGCAGGTCGAGGGCTCTCGTGTGTGTGCCTGAGGCTGGAGGCCACGCAGGGGTGGGACCGTGGGCATCGCGGGTGGCAGCGAGGAAGGGTCAGTTCTTCAGGTTCTGGAATTGCTTCAGGCGCTCCTGCACCCAGGGCTCCTTGGGATCCACACACACCTGCCTCCCCTTCTTGGTGACCACTCTGCCAGGAGAAAAAACCCGTGTTGAGGTGCTGCACTGAGGCCACGAGGAGCCCCCGCTGGGTCCCACCAGCAGCACCCTGAGTGTCCCCAGCCACAGCCCCAGGTCCCTCCCGGCCACCCCGAGCCCCTGGCAGTGGTGGGTACTCACATCACTGCTGGGTTGGTGCAGCTGCTGCTGGTGATGAAGACGGAGTTGATGAGGCGAAGAGGGATGGGATGCTGTTGGTAGGTGACGCAGCAGGTGGTGGGGACGCCGTCTGTGAGGACAGAGGGACAGAGACAGCCCTGGTGAGACCCCAGCTACAGCACAGGCTCTGGCCCCACTGGCACATGGTGTTCCCCAAGGATTTGCCATCTCCCACCCTCCCTTTGCGTCCTATTCCCTGGCAGAGGCTCCCCAGGAGAACCCTGCCCTCAACTCTCCATCCCACACTGTGATAGAATCTCCTGCCCCCAGCCCTCCCCACAGCCCCACGAGGGTCCTGCTGACAGGGATGCGGCTCTCCAGCAGCTCCCGTGGAGCGATGGCCCCCCTAAACCCCAAGAGGATGCAGCGACTCCGGACTCACCGAGATGGGCCTTGGAGAGGGAGCAGGAGGCCACGAGGAGCAGGGCGAGCAGGGAGGCTGCCAGGACCTTCATGGTGCTGTGGGGCCGAGGGCTCTGTGAGCAGGGCTGGAGCTGGGGAGGCTGCAGGGCTCTCTCTGCACGATGCTCCACCGCTGTGGCCATGCCCTCCTTTTATCCCTGGGCGCTGGGCGGGCACAGGGTTTCAAGGAAAGAAAGTGAGTGCATCATACCGGGGAAATTATGTCAGGATCAGCCAGTTTTGCTGAGCTGGAAAAGGAAAGGAAACCGCAGAAGCGGAAGGGACTGCTGGCCACGAGGTTGCAGCTTTCAAGATGCTCCTCGGGTGCCTGGTGGGGGACTGGTTGGAGCCCAAATGCCAACAGTGACTCTGCCACTGCTGCGAGGGCTGCACAGGCCGTGAGGCAGCTCGGGCTTGTGAAGCTGCACAGCCAGAGCTCTGGTGTCAATCCCAAGCAGGCAGCTGTGAAGGAACACCAACAAGCAGACCCAGGGCAGGGATGTGCTCTGCAGCAGCCCCAGCAGCATCGCTGTGTCAGGGGCTGTGGAGAGAGTCCCTGGATGGAGACCCCAGGCCAGCTCAGGGACCCTGGCATGGGGACACCCCCAGCCACTGCTGCTGTTGCTGGCAGAAATCCACTGCCAGGAGGCAGATCCCAACTTCTGCCCAGGTTTGCCACAAATACCAGATCTCGCCCTGCTGCTCTACAGGGATCCAGAGTTCTCCCTGCCACGATGCATTGCACATGTTCATCTCCACTGACAGCTCTAGGTCTTGCTTGGATGTTTAGGGAAGGAAGGATCATATAGGAACAAGGTTGTGTTGAGTCACTGTGGGTCTCACATTTGTCCCTTTTTGCTGGTATTAAGGTCATAAAGCAGTGTTCCCATTTGGGAAAGTCTGCAGACACATGGAGTCCCTGCATGTGCAGGAACTGGACTCTGTTGCCCTGCTCTGGGGCTGGAACAGAGGGCTCAGCCACCCTCCCTGTCCCTGGGCTGAACACAGGATTTACAACTCTCTAAGGATTTTAGTTTTGGCTGCAGCCTCTTAATGGCCAAGCTGTTGCAATTACTGCCAGCCCACTTCTACCCAAACAGGATAATTTCATCCAATTTAAGGTCTCTCTTCTGACTGAGCCCTGAAAAGCAAAGACCCTCCTGTCAGGATATGGGAGGGGACTGAAAAGGGGCAGCATTTGCAATGCCAGAGGGTAATTCCCAAACATCCCCCTCTGTGGCACACCCAGAAAGAGGGAGCTGCCAAACTCACTCCTTCCTCTATTTTTTTTGTCCTTTTCCAGCCTTTCCCTGACTCTGCACCGTGGTGCCATGAAAGGTTTGTTTCCTTGTCTCCCAGCTACCACACAAACCCCTGGCTTCCCCTGGCCTTCCTGCTGACCCTGGCTCGGGCATGACTAATTCCTGCCACTCTGATTCAGGGGAAAAGTCCCACTCACAGAAACGCTGAGCAATGCCAGTGCTCGTCCTCCCATTCCCACCTCCCAGCACCTGCCATGGCCTTTTGCCCAGCAGACCTTCCCCAGCCCACAGGCACTGCCTGATGGGTGCATCCCTCCCAGGTAGGTGGGAATGGATGTAAATCATCCCCTGGAGTGGGTCAGGAGGAGCTGGGCAGTGCTGATCTGGCCTCTAGTGGAAGAACCAATCCAGCTGTTCCAGCTGTTCCAGCTCCATTCTCCAAGTGCTCAGGTTTCAGCTGTTTCTGTTTCAGCCTCTCTCTGTGCAGGACTGCAGAGGAATAAATCCTTTGTGTTTAACAGTGACCAGGGTTTTCATCTGTGGCACTTGAGAAGGGCCTGGAGGAGAGGTGGTACCTGCTGTAAAAACTCCTGCTTGTCCCATGTCCCTGGCTGCACAAAGGCAGAAGGAAGGGACTCAGTTCCTCAGAGGGATGGAGATCTGCGTGAGTTTTTTTTTCTGTTAAGGCCATGGCAGAGACACTGAGTGGTTTCTCTTAAGCTCCAGACTCTGCCCTCCAGCCACCCCGTTCTGGCACCTCTCCTGCCCTCACCAGAGCCAGCTCTGCTTGGTGCAGGGAGGAGAAGTGGGAGGGAGGACCACAGTGTGCAGCGGGCTTTTGTGCTGAAGGAAGCCAGAAACTGCTCTCTGGGCCAGCCATAGGAACAAGATGCTGAGCTACCTCAACAAAGGGTGGGTTTTTTTCTGGAGAGGCAGCCCCGAGCCAGGGATGAGCTGGGCTTGGACAGGAGAACTGAGTCAGGGGCCAACAGCTGGGGATGAGCAATGGCAGGGGACAAGGTTGGCTTGGTGGGAGCCCCTTTGCTTGCCCAAGCAGAGTGAAAAAGGGTGGGATGGACAAGAGAGTAGTACTGGGAAACCACAAGTGCCAGGAGGGTGGTGAGGGATGTCCCCCACTCAGGAAATATTAGAAACTGAAATCAGGGCAGTGATAGATGGAATGATCTGTGGGCACTGGCTCCAGCAACCACCAGAGGAAGACTTGTCATCCGGCAGGAACCGCAGGAAATCTCACAATCACGAAGATTATTTCTGATGGAAGAGGCAGAAATATTTCCTCTTTGCTGCAGAAGTGACTGGCCAAGCTTTCGGTTCTCCATTTAGATGAGGGCTGGATGGGACTTCTTACTGGATGTTGATGAAATACTTTCCATTATAACTGGAATCGAGGACATTTCAATGAATAGTTTGTGTTTAAGGAATTAAATATAAGGAACTGGTGCAAAGGGAGAGTGAAGAAATGACTTGCAGTTTATTTCTCCTGCCATGGAAGACCCTTGTAAGCAGGGCAGGAAACACAGGAAATCAGAACCTTCAGCTTTGCAAACCCAAATTTGAAAAATAGAGGAAAGGAAAAGCCTATTAATTAGGAAGGGGAGTAAATAGCCAAAGGTGCCACTTCTTTTTCACTTGTCTTTGCATAAACAAGACAAGAGGTAATGGTCAAGTGCTCAACACAATCAAAATTTAGTGCACCCAGATGAGAAAAGGGAAAAGAGAACAAACAAGTAATGAAGAGGTAGGTAAGCCAGGTGTAATCAAACAAAAAGGCCCCAGAGATATCCCTAACTTCCTCCTGAGCCATCTGATTAGCAGCAAAAACTCACATGGAGTGGGAGAGGTACCAGAAAGACAGAGGTGAGCAGATGTGGCACTAGTCTTGCATGACCTGACGCTTTGGGCACTGCCTTGCATGAGTGTCCCAAAGAAAATGAGGGAATTGAAGTCTCAAAACCACATCACCCTCTGGGGCCGTGGTTAAAAGAGCAGAGGGAGCACCCTCACTGGCTGAGGGCAGAGCAGGACACGTGGGGGCACGGGAGAGAGCAGCCTGGAACAGCAGGGACAGGGTGTGGCCAGAGCAGACCCCCAGGTTTGCTCAGTCCTGGGGTAAGGAACCTGCCTCTTAGGGCTACGCATTTCAACAAATGAGGGATAAGAGTGGGAAAAGACCACCAAGAAAGTCAGTCCCATGTCCAGACAGGGCAGGGGGCCAATGCCAGAGGGTTCATCCAGACTAGAAGACAAGGGATGATCTCCATCCTGCAGTGTAAGAGCACAGCATTGCCTCTGGTCCCCAGGGAAGCTCAGACTCTGCCTCAGCCTGCAGCCAACCTTAGGGAAGCCTCTCCAGCTCTGCAGAGAGCTTTCCCCGAGGACAAAGCCCTGCTGCTGGCAGCAGGCTGCATTTCTACCCCTGAGTCAGGGCAGAGGGATGTTCTTTCAGGAGAGGATCCCAGGCAGCCGAGGCCCTGCCCTTGACAGCACTGCTGGGCTGACAGCAGCCTCTGCCTGCCCTGTGCAGCAACCTGAGCCAGCAGGAAACCACAGGCAGAAAAAAACTTAAACTGCCAACAGCACCATCCCGTTCAAGAGAAAGCCACATGGCATTGTGCAACATCCCTCTGGGAAGTGACACTCATTGATAAAAATTATGCACAGGGGTCCTGTGGCTTGAGGTTAGGAGGAGAACCCGGGTCAGCTGCCAGCCTCACCCTGCAGGCAACTCTCACTGAGCCTCGTGAGTGTTGTTTTATGAGGGCAGCTCAGCATTCAAAGCGGAATTCCTAGACCAGACCCCACTGATACATTTTAAATTCCAATTCCCAAATGTTCCTTCCCCCTCCGAGGATCCTGTGCTGCGCCCTGCACAAGGAACCACAACCACAACCCAGGGCAGGGAGTTTTCTGTGGTCCTGGATCAAAGACAGCTCTTCTCCCTCCAGCTTAAGTGACTTCTGCACCAGACTGGTGCAGGAAGGAGAGTGGTAAGAGCAAGAACAACCTCTCCCCCTGCAGGAGGCTGCAGCGCACCCGTGGGGCTGGCATGCCAGAAAATCCCAAGGGGAGTGGTATTCTGGTTAATCCTTGGACTTGCAGCACCAAAGAGCAGCTCTAGCAAAGTTGGAGAGGTTAAGTCTCATTCTCTAAAGAATGCCTGCAAAAATGCTTTGACTGAGCATGGGCAATTATCCAGTCACAGGTGAGAAGATTCTTTTCAATTAGAAGGAACAATTCCAGATGATATGGTCCCATGGGGATTGTGGCAGATGACTGGGCCCAAGGTCATTGGCCTGTACAGAAACACCCTAAAGGGGGGTAGATATATGGCAGCAAATCTGGCAGTATGTCTAAAGGTATCTCTAACAGTAAAGCATGTCCCAGCTCATCAAAAAGATGATTCACGTGAGTCACAAACTAATAGGGAAGTAGATAATACAGCATTCTTCTGGAGAAACTGGCTGCTCATGGCTTGGATGGGTGCCCTGTTCAATGGATGAAAAACTGGCTGATGGCTGGGCCCAGAGAGTGGTGGGAATGGAGTGACATCCAGCTGGGGATGGTCACCAGTCGTGTTCCCCAGGGATCAGACCTTGGGCAATGGAGCTGGGGAAGAGCCTAGCTCTTGAGGAGAAAGCCCTGGGAGAAAAGGAGGCTCAGGGCGACCTTCTCTCTCTCTCTCCAAATCCCTCACAGGAGGTTGTAGCCAAGTAGGGTTCGGACTCTTCTCCTGGGTAACAATTGACAGGACAAGAGGAAATGGCCTCAGGTTGCACCAGTGGAGGTTTAGATTGGATATTAGGGGAAAACTCTTCACTGAAAGGGTCATCAGCACTGGCATAGGCTGCCCAGGGCAGTGGTGGGGCCACCATCCCTGCAGGAATTTAAAAGACTTTCCAGCTTCTCCCCAGGTGTGCCACAAATACCCTCCTCACCCTGCTCCTCACTGGTCACAGCAGGGACACAGAGTTAGCTCCAAAGATCCATGGCTGGTGTCCTGATGGGAACCAGGCAGATGAAGGATGCTCCAGCCTCCCTGCACTTGCTGGAAACCTGCCCCAAAGCATCTGCATGTTCAATTTCTTCTTCTCCTTAGGGAATTTATTGACACGAGTGACAGGCCTGATAAGGTTTGATTTCCATTGTCTGCCACCCCCATTGCCACCGTGGGTGGACGGGTTCTGGGGGCTGCAGGAGGAGTTTTTCCGTGAGACAAGGGGATTTCCAGGGACCTGGAGGATCAGTCCCATGGACAGCTCTCTCCAGGGGCCTGCCCAGGTCTGGAGGACAGTGCTAGACCTCATGGCCCCGCTCTCTCCTTCTGCAGCCACCCCTGTTTAACTGCTGGATCCATCTGGGACAAAACCAGCCCAGCTCCTGAACCCCCCAAAGCCAACCTTTCTCCCGCTGCCAGCCTCACCTGCCTTTTCCCTGCCTCAATCCCCATCCCACCAGGCAGGCAGCTGCCCAGGGCATCCTTAAAGGCCACATCTGGGCAGGGGCTGCTTCATTTGGGAGGTGAGCTGGAGGCATCAGCCTTGGCCCGTAGGGTTTCCCTGCCCTCCCAGGGGCTCCTGGACTATTCCTGGCTCTCTGTGGGAATGCTGAGCCCTGATGTGACCCGTTTTCTCCCACAGGATTCACATCTCTCACTCCAGGTCAGCACGAGATGGTTTATTGACTCCACTGAGGGAGGAACTGGACGATGGAGGGGTGATGGCAGGGGAGGGGATGGAGCCAGCTCCATAAATGAATGACACAAGAACGTACAGATAATTATGGGAAACAAATAAATAGAGCTTATGGGGAAGGCAGCTTCACGTGGAGGTGCTGATTGACTTCTTTTCCTTCAGGTACTTCTGGAACCAGCTCGCCTTTGGGTCCACACAGACAGTTCCCTTCTGCAGCTCCACACTTTGGGGAAAAGAGTATTCTGCATTAGCTCAGGATGGGGGGGATGGATCCCTGCCAGCCTGGAGGTGCCTGCAGCATCCTTCCCCCCACTTTCCCTGGAAGTGCTGACTTTTGGCAATCTCTGCAATTTTAGGTTCCTTCCCGTTTTTCTGACTGGCAGCTGAAGCAGGGGGATTTTGGGGCTATTTGGGATTAAGCAGCGAGGAGGGAGGGGAATGTGAAGAACCAGGTTAGGGCACCCCCACCCGTAGAACCCTTTACAGGGTGGCCCGTTTTGGGGGCTTCCCAAAGGCAGAACAACTGGTAGGAAAGGTGGGTGAGGGGTGGGAGGCCAGGGAGGAAGGCTGGGTGGGAGCTGGGGCTACTCACATCACAGCCTTGCGGGAGCAGAGGGAGGCTGTGTCCCGGTAGCTCTTGATTTTGTGTGCAGGGATCTTCCGCCAGATGAACATGTCCTTGTGGCAGCACACGGAGTGGGACCTGCGGACTAAGAGGAGAAAAGAGGTTTTAGTGCTCTCCCTCGCCTGGGCTGAGGGGTGTGGGTGCTCCCCTGGGGAGCTCGTGCTACAAGGGAATCTCCTCTTGCATCCTCAGTGGTGATGTTTTTCCCCAGGGAAGGAGCCCCCCATTCCTCTGCCTGTGGGGGGTTTGCTCAGCAGAGCTCCCCAGCTGGAACTCTGGGGCTGAAGCCATCCCCAAGCCTGTTTTTGCTCATTTTGAACCAGCCCAGGACAGCCCTGTGCTGGGGTAGCCAGTGATGCCCCTCAGCCTCCCAGGAGCAGGAGCTGAACTCTCATCCCCCTCCCAAATCCCATCAGTGGAGGGTCCGGGGCAGCCCTGGGGAAAGGTTGGGTGTCGGTACTTACGGGACATGCCCTGGCTTCCAGTCCAGGGGGCTGCCAGCAGCAGGGTGAGCAGGGCCAAGGAGCAGATCTTCATGTCCAGCACAGGGCTCGGTCAGCACCAGCAGAAGGCAGCTCTCCCTGTCTCAGGCCACTGAGAGCTACCTGCCCCTCCTGCCTGCACCCTGGCACGATATATAACACCTGCCAGGCGTTCCATGACAGCTCTGGACTCTCCCCACGGAAAGAACCACCTGGTAAAGGGCAAGTGGTGCAGGGAAATTCCTTCTTCCAGCCCCTTTGGCCACTGAGATACCCGAGGGCTGCTGGAAAGTGTGGTGAGCGGTTGGTGATGCGCCGGAGCTGGGTGTCTGTTTTGAGTCTGGTTACCACCAGCAAACCACAGAGGATGATGCTCACACTTGACAAGGTCCTGTGAGAGTTTCTTTTCAAAAACCACCCCTTGCCATCAGTTCTGATGCCTCTCTTGCAATTTTGCACTGGGTGAGTGGCTCGGTGGGGGCTGGATTTGCCCACCCTGAGACCCACTGGTGGCTGCTCATGGTGGTGGCCATGCCTGTCTCAGGGTCCATCTTGTGGCATACTGGGATTTTGGGCTGTCAGTGGGGCCCCAACCAGGCATCCTTGAGGGGCTCCTCTGACAGAATTTGGGCCAGGGTTTTCCCCTCAGGATGCTGGATGAGGTCCACAGGAAGCCCCCTCCTCATGGGCTGTGCCCGCCTGTTGCTGCTCTCCCTGGTGCTTCCCCAAAGCATGGACGTGGTTTGGTCCCACGCTCACCCTGGACATCCTCACAGAGACAGGGCTGTGGCTTCAGCTCTTCCTGGCTCCATACTGATCCCAGCACCTGGCTGGGAAAGCCGGCAGCAGGATCTGCCCACTCCCAAGACATTCACACAGACAGATGTTTGCTTGTGTGAGATCACGTTTAATTCTGTTCAGCGTGTTGTACAAAAAGTAACGGTGGAGCTGCTCCCCCTGAACCCCTCGGCTGCTGCCAGGCTGGCAGGAGCAGCCTCTCTGCCTTGGGGTTCATGGGGACTGGCAGAGGATCCAGACCTGAGCATCCCACAGGGTCAGCACGCTCCATCCTGGTGGGATGCCGGGGTTGGCAAAGGCCCTTTGTCTTCAGGGAGATGGGGAGGGTCATCCCAGCGGGGTGGGGAGGATGTCCCTGATGAGCTGCTCTGTCCCAGTGTGTCCCCACAGCCACCTCTGCAAAGAGGTTGCCTTTGCAGTGTCCTCTATGGAGAGGAGTCCCTGCTGCCTCTGGTCACTCCACTAGCTGGGGATGGAGAAGGAGCTGACTTGGAAGCTCTGCTGGTACCTCTTCACCCATGCCCTGCTTGCCTGGGTGCAGATCTCCTTCCCGTTCCTCACTCTGAAACTGGGGCAGAGAGAAGATGAGGTTAGTGGGGTGGTCCTACAGGGACCCCAGAGATGAGTTTCCTGGAGGAGGCACAGAAGGTCAGGATTGGACCCACCAAAGCAAGGCAAGGGGTCTGGCAGGATCTAGAAGGGCTTTACCCCCAGGGTGGGTTTATGGTACTCACATCACAGCCTGGTGGGGACACTCGGGGCTGGTGGGGTAACAGGCAACAACGTTGTCTCTCTTGATCCTTCTGGTCTGGAAGTTGAAGCAGCACTTGTCCGGCATGGCTGGAGCTCCTGGGGGGACAGCACAAGCTCAGCTTAGCCTGGAGACCCCCACCTCCCACCTCAGCCTTCCAGCTGTGGGAATGGCAGCTCTTTGGGAAGAGCCCACTTGCTCCCCATGCACGAGGCAAACCCATCCCCACAGTCCCAGGGTCTGTCCCTGTTCCCCATCCCGTGGGGATGACGGTGCTCACTCTGAGCCAGGCTGTGCCAGCACAGCGTGGTGAGGAGGAGGAGGAGGGTGCAGACCACGCTGGCTGCCTTCACCATGGTGGATTGTGGCAGGGCTGCTCCGAGTGCCGGGGCTGGGGCTGCTCCGTGTGCTTTTATGGGGAGCAGGGGCCTGGCTTCCCCCAGGGCCAGCAGCTGCGTGAGCAGGGGGAGGACCTGGTCCCTCGCCACGTCCCAAAGCACAGAGGGTAAGTGATACTGATCCCCTCCCAGCACAACCCTGGGAAAAGAAAAATCTACTCCCAGGACGTGCTTTTGGCATCCAGTGGGCTTGGGATTTTTCCTGAGCTCCTGCCTCCAGCGTTAGGGCTGATGGATAGGCTGTTCCCAAAGGTTTTGCACCCTTGTTCTCTGGGCAGGCTGTGTGCCCCATGGCAGGACCCCAGGGTGGGTGAGAGGGCTGGGAATCTCCCTTGAATGGGACCAGGGACAGGCACAGCATCCAGCAGGGTCCCCAGCAGCCCCACACACTCCCAACAGTCCATGTCCTCCCCCTGCACCGTGAAATTTTATATCCTATCGCTTTGCATCCCAGTCCAGGGGACCAACAGTCAAATAAACCCCCTCCAAAAAGAAATAAAAAAGCCACAGAGAAAATAAACCCACAGAGAAGCAGCTTCTGTTTGGTTGCATCAGGCACAGAAACATCTCTGTGCCGGTTTTGGGGGTGTTTGGGGCCCATGAGGACAGGGGGAGGACGGGCAGGTGGCTCCACTTCCCTCCGCTTGGTGCCAAAGCTGCAGCTCATGTTCTTGGCCGTGCTGAGCTGGGAAAGGCAGAGGCCAGTTTGGGGCTTCCCTCCTGGATTTTGCTTGGCTGCAGCTGTCAAAAAAAGCCCCTTCTCCCCCCAGCCCCTGGGAGTCCCAGGGCGCATCCCAGCTGCCGGCAGCTGGCGGATGGTGGGAAGCAGTGGGGAGATGCAGACACACATCCCCGCCAGCCCAGCTGTCCAGGGCAGCCACATCCCACCACGTGGGGCTGGGAATGCCAATGGCACCCTGTGGCATTCTGGACCCCCTGGGCTGTACTGCAGCCCTGATGGGGAGAAGACATGGAGTGATGATCCAGGCAGGCTCCTGCCTGAGCAGGAATGGGGACCACCTCCATGGTTGGACCACATGCAACCTTCCATTTGCTCTTCTCCAAAGCAATTTCCCAGAAATCAGCCTCAGTTTGCTTGGGGTGGACACATGGGATAACAGTGAGATGCAGGAAGTGGGGCAGGGTGATGCCCCAGGGCTGTTGGGTGCAGACAAAGGGGTTTGTGTTTGTCTGGCAGAGCAGAGCACCTTCCACCATCACCCAAACTCCCAGCTAATCTCTCCTCAGGGAGCAGAGGAAAGCAGATGAGAGCTGGTTCTGGTCCGGCACAGCTGCCTGGCTTGCCTTTCCCTTACTGGATCCATCCTTTCCCTCATCCCTGTTCTTACCCCCACGCACCAAGGAGCTCATCTAAGGGCAGGAAATATTCCCTGCAAGAAGAAAACGAAATATAAGGAAAACCAAACAGCATTTATTAGTCTGGGAAAAACGCCTTTTAAAGACTCCTGGGCAAAATGCTGGGATGCAGCAGGCCGAAGAAGCCCAGGAATGCCATTCCCAGCACGTGCAGCATCCCTCTGCCCTGCCCTCAGGCACGGGTGTTGACCCTGTTGGATGAGCAGACCCTGTGGACAGGGGATTTTGGAGCAGGTGATCCGGGCTGAAAAGCACACTTTTTTCACTTTTTTTCCCTTGTGTCATGGGGGACTCTTTGCCAGCACTCCCTTGGGCTCCGTGCTTGGCCGCAGAGGGGTTGGCCTCTGCAGAACAGACGGGACAGATCCCCCTCCTGCACTGGGGGAGGTGGCAAATCTGGGGGCTGGCAGAGGCATTTAGGACCCCACTGGGGGCTCGATCTTTCATTGCCCCTTCCCAAAAAATTTGCAGCTGCTCCAAACCTCCCTCTTCTGGGTGGGGTGAGGGTGTCCCGGCGGACTCTGCAGCCCCGTGGCTGCTCCCCACTGCTCCTCATCCCCGAGCAGAAAACAGAGCAGCTCCTGGGGAAACTCTGGCAGGAGTGTGGGTGCTTTAATCACCCTCCGTGCTCAGAGCCAGCCCGACCGAGCTCTGCAGCTCTGGGGCTGCCAGGGGGGAGCTGCTGGGCACACCGGGACAGCCGCTCGGCAGCACAGACCCCCTGGAAGCATCGCTCGCCCCTGGGTGAGAGCGGCTTTCCCAGCCGCGTGTGCAGACGCTTTATTGATGCTGCGGCACTTCTCGTTTCAGCCGATCAATAACCCCGCGGGAGGAAGATCTGAGTGCAGCGCCCGCGGGACGGGGCGGCTGCTGCAGCTGGGGCAGCCAAAGTCACGACCGTGATCAAAGCAGCTTTTGCCAGGTCAGGTCTGCTTCCATAAGGGATTTGTTTGATTTATTCTTCTCCCTTTTAAGTCTCGGTCAGATCAGCTTTTCCATTATCTTGCCGGGGCTGACGCTGAGATAACCACTGAATTCACACCCTCTGTGTGCTGTTTCCTTTTTTAAAGTCCTTGTCCCCCAGGACTTCCCCAGCTGCTTGAAGAGATGGGTTATATTGGGATGGGTCACCCACTCCTGTCCCCAGGAAGAGGTGGCTCATAATTCTCCCCTGCCACCCACATTCCTCCAGAGCCCAGCTGGCTCCTGCCCAGATGCCATCACTTCCCCAAAAAGCAGTAAATTTTATTCCAAGGCTGGAAAACTCAGTGGGTATCTGGATTTCATCCCCAAAGCTGCTCACTTAGGGGGGAGCAGGTTCTGCAGCCCCTGAGGCATCACCTGGTACCCTGAGGCTGGAGGGATGAGCCCATCTCCTGCTGTTGGAAGCTGCAGACCTATAGAAATAAGATGGAATTGGTGCTGCCATCCTTCTCCAGGGGAGATTTCACTGGGAAAGGCATGGCTATCCCCCAGTTTCAGCCATGGGAGCAGTGCTGGAAATGCCACAGACGTTGCTGGAAAAAGCTGCAGGTCCCCTCTTGATTTTGGAGTCCTGGCTGGTGGCTCTGCCAGGGCTGCCTCTCCATTGCCCATCTGCCAGTGCCCTACATCCCACTGTCCCAACCACAGGGAAAGCAGCCCCAAAAGGAAGGGTTTTCAACCCAAAGCAGTGTGTGTGGAGGTGCTCAGAACACCCATGGCAGAGATGATCCCGAAGGTGAAAAGCTCTCGTCTGGGATGACAATCCCTCTCCCCATCACCCGAGGGAAGGGGCTTTGTGGTACCCATGTTGTGCCTTTCAGGAGACTTGTCCCTCAGCATTTCATCCTCTCTCAGCTGTCCCAGGCTGAACTGTCTCCCTTCCTCGATGTATCTGCCATGTTCTGGCTGACTCATTTCCCGTGTCCTTTGGCCCCCGGCATCCTGACAGCCCCCGCACAGGGACCAGCCCTGGCTCAAAACCTGACTTCAACACCAAACTCCTCTGCTTGAGATTGAGATCAGAGCTGGGCTGCTCGAGTTGAGTGATCTCTTCCCTCTGCTCCCCAACCCTGGCCTTTGAAAAGCCAGACTTGAAAACAAACCCAGAGTCCCATCTGACTCCCGACCTGCACTCTGATTTCCTGCAGGTTGCACATGCCTTGTGATTTCCCACAGACCTGGAAGGCACAAACCAGGTGGGAAAAAAAAAAGAAGAAAACCTAAAAAAACCCCAAGCAAGATGCTCAAAAAATCCTCTGCATCCAGGAGCTGGGGACAAAAGTAATTAAAAAAATTCACACTAGGGACTTGCTGGGCTCTCTGGATTTTCTCCAGGTACATGAGCCAAAGCTAAGCAGTGCTGTCAGGATGCAGGAAGGCAGTGATGGGTAACAGGGATCAGCATTTCCAGGGGGTGGGGGATTCTGTTGCACCCCCCTGAGTCCCCCCCACGGCTTGGCCCTGGGTCCCCGTGGTGTTTTCCCAGCTATCAGCAGCTACGATCTGCCTTTGTGGCCTTGCTGACTGTTAGTTTTCACACATATTTTCTGACACCACCTGACCAGGGAGGAAAAGACACCCCACGGGAGATGAATTCATTTCCTCCAGCTCACCCCAGGGTATTTTCCTTGTGTATCCTACGCCTGGCATCGCTCCGAGCTGGTGGGAGCTGGAGCTGGTGTGGCCACGCAGCAGCCCTGCTGTGGACACTCTTTCCACTTGGAATGAGTTGCTTTTGGGAATTTACCTAAAGCACTTTAACAAATATTTCCTGGACCAGCTGTGGGAAAGCCTTTTCTCCTGCTGTCCCGACGAGTTTGCTGTGGGGGAAATTCAAAGTGGGAAACATGGGATGTGGCGCTTCCACGGGGATGGGGGGGATATCGTGAGATGATGGGGATGATGGTGGGGATGAGCACCAGCTGTGCAGGGCTTGGTCCCACTGGCCTTTGCCATTTTTGGGGCCCCAAGGCTTTCTTGGGGTTGATGGCAGTGGCTGAGCCATGAGCTGGGCGAGGTGCCAGCCCGTGGGGGGCATGAGCAGGGTTTGGGGTGCCTGCCTGGGGCGCGGCAGCAGTGGCGGGATCCCTGCGTCCCTCCGAGCCTTGGATGATGTTTTCCCTCCGTTCGGCACAAGATGTCAGTGCTGCCCAAGGAACGGCTGTCAGAGCTGTTCCACCTCGTGGCCTGACCAGGCCATGGTGCTCTTTCTTTTGGGGTCCCCGGCTTGGGATGCTGCACCCCGGGGCCAGGACGTGCCTCACCCCTTCCCCCTTAGGGACCCACCGGGGCTTCTCCTGACTGATGGAGGTGCACAGAGAGCAGCAGGTCTTACCCAGCTCTGTGGCCTTGAGTTCTTCCCCTTTGGAGACACCACAAGGCTCTCAGGTACTCCCAGCACCATGGGAATCATCTGGGGAGAAATCCAAGAGGCTGGAAGAGAAAGGTGGAAGGGATTCGGCCCCATTCCCGCATCCCATGGCACTGCCATCACTGCTGCTGGCCATCCTCCCCCTCCCAGAGGTGTGCAGGGCATGGAGAGCAGCTCTCCCTGGTCTGGTGTTCCTTGGGGAGGGATGAGAAACTCCTTGTGGGGA